TTTTTGAAAAGCTTATATTTTTTACTGAATATTAGAGATTTTCATACCATATAGTTTGATGGCATTCAGATCCCCTCCCCTATCTCCCTATTTGTACCTCCCACTTCCTCCAGTTTAATGTACTCTCGTATATACATATATATATATATATATTCTACTGGTTCTGTGTCTCTAGACAACACTAACACAAAGTTCAACAATATCTGAATACTATTTTTGCCTGTCAGCATGCCAATGGTCTAGAATTCTTGTACCACAAGCAGTCTGACTTGTACACTGAGGAGCGGGAATGTTTCTTATTTTAATTTTTGCTTTCTCTTTCTTTTCTTTTTTCTTTCTTTTTTTTCTTTTTGTAGACACCTGGAATGCAAACTGCTTATTCAATTACATAACTTATTTGGTTTTGATCATTTAAAATATTTCATTTATTATTTTATATTTTATGTGTATGAGCATGTTGCTTCCAGGTGTGTAAGTGCGCCTCAGAAGAGGGCACTGGATCCTCTGGAACTGAAGTTATAGACAGTTGTCAGCCACCAGGTGGATGCTGGGAACTGGACATGGGTCCTGCAAGAGCAGCCAGTGCTCTTAACCACTGAGCCATCTCTCCAACCCCCTTGATCATGTTTTTAAATCCACCATTAAATCAACACATAAAGTAATATTGAACAAACACATTTGGAAAATTGTATTTTGATTATGGATGATAACCACCATTAATCAAATGACACCATGTGCAGGCATTTGATGTAGGGGAGTGAAGGTCCAACATCCCTTCAGTCAGAAGATCCCAACTGTCCTGACATACTTGTGATTCCAGTTTTGGATAACTGCTGGGTCACTGTGTACAAGTCACTCAAGTCCTTCACATTTTAGAGTAGATACATGTTTTCTTTTTGTCTGAAGAGTCCCAAGATCATTTGCACAGCTCCCATCTCCCTGCCTTTGTATTAAAGCAATTCTGGCTCTTTGGGGAAGGCAGGGACAATAGAGTCTCCCAACCTGTGCTTTGAATGGGATGGTTGCTGAGAGACAGTGACTGCAGCCGGCCAGGTTCTCCACTCAGGCGGCACTGGGATAGAGCCAGGTGGCAAGCGCCCACCTCTGAGAACATTATAGCTGCTGGGCATTCTCCTTCCTTTGGTACTCTAGGGAACTCCATGATGAAATAGAAATAGATCAGCTGGAACTTCCCTCCTCTTCCTTCCTCTGGATTCAGAAGGAAAATTACCAGCCTTTCTCCTAAGGTTAAATAAAAAAAAAGAATTGAAGATGGGGCTGAAGAGATGGCTCAATGGGTAAGAGCACTGGCTGATCCTGGAGGGTACCCACGTTCAGTCCCCAGCATCCACATAGTGGCTAACAACCATCCATAACTCCTGTGCCAGGGAATCTGATGCCCTCTCTGGCCACCGCGGCATTGGAAGACATTTGTGCACTTACATACATGCAGGCAACATACTCAAAAACATTAAAAAAAAAATAAAGAATGGCTCATTTGTAGTTCTAATGGCAAGTTTTCAGTGGGTTGGCTGTGTGTGCCACTGTGGGTCTGTGGCAGTGTTTTTCTCAACTTTCTGCTTAGGTGTTAATTTACGAATTCACCTGATTGGATTGGCAGAGCTTTATCTCCTCACTATGGAGGCACCAAATGAATGTTTTTTGTCATGGCCCATGTTTTTGTTAGAGACATTAACTGACTCTGAACTGGCATCTGTAGTATTCTTTAAGGAGTTCCAGGAACTGTCCCAGACTTACCTTCTACCATTGTGGACCTCCAGATCCCAGAGCATTCCCAGATCCCCCTTCATAAATCTCCTCTCCCCGATCTATGGACGCCATATTGGCCATCTCATATCTGTCAGGACACTTGTGTACTACTGGGAGCTATTCCAGACCTGCCTTGCATTCAGTACTGCTCAGGATACCAGTATCCTTGTGATTCAAGATCTGTGAACGTTCCCAGTGTGACCTATCACCAAACCTGTTCACTGTGTAACAACTCAGCCCACCCTGCTGTTCCAGAACCCTGACAAAGTCAACCCTGGAAACTTCAACTCAAAAATTGCACCTATTCTTAGCCTAACTGAAACCACTTATTTTACCCCATTTTCACATCAACATAAAGCAGCCTCCAAACTAAATACCAAGCACTACTCAGATCGGCCATAACTGAAACCTGGGGAAACAACAAACAAAGATACAAAAAACTCAACAAAGACTGGGTCACCTACCCATACCAAGAAACACAACTAATGACACAAGTATATATGCCTAGGACTCACTGAGAAAACATAAACAACACTAATAACCAAGATAAATATGA